CGTGCATGTGGTACACGCATGTTGATGCGCTGCGTGTGCGTGCGTGTGTTGTGTGAGGACCCAAGCCCTGATACGCATCATTTTGCGTTACGACGTAAAATCGGACCTTACGTTTTGTGATTACCTGGAAATTAAAACTTAGATGATTATTGTGTTTTTCACGTTCCAAGTGAATCGGTTAGCGTCGTTATCTTGTGAATTAAGGACAGTGGGCTGTGAATGGCTAAATAATGAGACGAAACTGAGTGGTACGTGCGCAGGGAGGGACAGGCTTGTTTTTAGGTGATAGAGTTCGGGCTGTTTAGGGCTTTATCAAGTTACGTTTCCTCTGTGTAAACTTTTAAGTCAGTGGCTTAAGCGCTATATCAAGAGCGACATAACTTGATAGAAGTCTACAGCAGGGCAGGACTTGTATAGCTCTACACAGGCGATTGATAAAACTTACACAGGGCGTTAACTTTGATAAAGCTCTACATCGGGCTGTGAAATTGATAAGCTCTACCAGGCGGACCTGATAAAGCTCTAACAGGGCGAGACACCTGATAAAGCTCTACACAGGGAGAACTTGATAAAGCCTACCAGGAGGAACTTGATAAAGCTCTACACAGGCGGAACTTGATAAGCTCTACACAGGGAAGAACTTGATAAAGCTCTACACAGGGCGGAACTTGATAAAGCTCTACACAGGGAGGAACTTGATAAAGCTCTACACGGGGTGGAACTTGATAAAGCTCTACACAGGGAGGAACTTGATAAGCTCTACACAGGGAGGAACTTGATAAAGCTCTACACAGGGCGGAACTTGATAAGCTCTACACAGGGCGGAACTTGATAAGCTCTACACAGGGAGGAACTTGATAAGCTCTACACAGGGCGGAACTTGATAAGCTCTACACAGGGCGGAACTTGATAAGCTCTACACAGGGCGGAACTTGATAAGCTCTACACAGGGAGGAACTTGATAAGCTCTACACAGGGCGGAACTTGATAACTCTACACAGGGCGGAACTTGATAAGCTCTACACAGGGAGGAACTTGATAAGCTCTACACAGGGAGGAACTTGATAAGCTCTACACAGGGCGGAACTTGATAAGCTCTACACAGGGAGGAACTTGATAAGCTCTACACAGGGCGGAACTTGATAAGCTCTACACGGGGTGGAACTTGATAAAGCTCTACACAGGGCGGAACTTGATAAGCTCTACACAGGAAGGAACTTGATAAGCTCTACACAGGGCGGAACTTGATAAGCTCTACACGGGAGGAACTTGATAAGCTCTACACAGGGCGGAACTTGATAAGCTCTACACAGGGGGAACTTGATAAGCTCTACACGGGGTGGAACTTGATAAGCTCTACACGGGCTGGAACTTGATAAGCTCTACACAGGACGGAACTTGATAAGCTCTACACGGGGTGGAACTTGATAAGCTCTACACAAGGAGGAACTTGATAAGCTCTACACAGGGGGAACTTGATAAACTCTACACAGGGGGAACTTGATAAACTCTACACAGGGGGGAACTTGATAAAGCTCTACCGGGTGGAACTTGATAAAGCTCTACACGGGCGGAACTTGATAAGCTCTACACAGGGCGGAACTTGATAAGCTCTACACAGGGAGGAATTTGATAAAGCTCTACACGGGGTGGAACTTGATAAAGCTCTACACAGGGCGGAACTTGATAAAGCTCTACACAGGGCGGAACTTGATAAGCTCTACACAGGGCGGAACTTGATAAAGCTCTACACGGGGTGGAACTTGATAAAGCTCTACACGGGGTGGAACTTGATAAAGCTCTACACGGGGTGGAACTTGATAAAGCTCTACACGGGTGGAACTTGATAAAGCTCTACACGGGGTGGAACTTGATAAAGCTCTACACGGGGTGGAACTTGATAAAGCTCTACACGGGGTGGAACTTGATAAAGCTCTACACGGGGTGGAACTTGATAAAGCTCTACACGGGGTGGAACTTGATAAAGCTCTACACAGGGCGGAAAATTGCACCTTTATCTATTAATTCATTACAGTGACCAGCCCTTAATTAAGGAAGGTTCCTTGACGCTAGGGGTTCTTGATCCAAGGAATTGGACCTGTTCCCCCTTTCCTAGGATCGGCCCTGATTACTACCCAGAAGCCATAAACCCCTATGGGGTTAGCGCTTCCTCTAATAATGTTAATAGTAATAAGTGGTAATATATAATAATAATAATAATAATAATAATAATAATAATAATAATAATAAAATATTATTATTATTATTATTATTATTATTATTATTATTATTATTATTATTATTATTATTATATATTGTCAGTTCTATTCCAGTGCGATACTTTAATTTTAGTCAAAAATTAATATTATTTGGAAAGGCCTTCACAGTACGAGGGTTTAATTTTTTAATTATTTTTTTTAGATGTATTTTCAGAAAATTCCACTGCATAATATATCTTTATAAGAGTTGTGTTTATGGTGAGTGGCTGGCAGTGAAGGCTCGTACCTCGGTACACTGGGGGAGAGGTGAACACCACCTTGACACTGGCTCTCTCTTCTTCAGATGGAAGCAAGTAAGGTCCTGACGTCCCTGTTGGTGCTGACACTGACAGGGCCAACCCTGGGTTACCCCTACACCAGGGCCGTGGCATCCAGGAGTAGCGGGCGTGGCCGGGAGCAGCTACTAGATGCGGGGCTAGGAGACTACCTGCTAGGCTATACTGATGACCAGTATGTACTCCCAGAGTACACTCCCAGCAAGCGTTATACATATGCAGCACAACGACCCAGAATAAATGCTGTAAGTATTACGGCAACGCGGCTGTTGGATGAATGATGGTGAAGGCGTATTATTCTTTGAATCACATTAACTTGCTTGAAGATAATTATGGCCAAGACAGCTATCAAGTAAATAATGGTGAATGTGTTTTCTTTTCTGTAACGTTAATTTTTTTTTTTTTCATTTTCTCCGCCAGGAGACCCTGCAGCACTACTGCCGTTCCTGACCGCCGCCAGGAACGACTATGTTTACGATTACAACACTTACAGCGACGATGATGGTACTTGGTACGACACTTCGGTTAATGACGACTTGGCAGACACCGTTACCACTGACGACTCTGCCTCCTCCCTGCTGCCCATGTTGCTGGAGCGACGACCTCTGAGGTAAGACCACCTTGCTCACCTCTCTGGAGAGACCACCTCACTCTCCTGGTCTTACCTGGTGTTTCTTTTGGTGTATTCATATAACATAACGTAAAATAAATATTGTCACACTTGTCATCACTCATAAAACCAGCATTTCGAAAGTAACCGAAATGTGCTTATATCCCCTACACTTTGTTTCAACCCCTCATACTGTGTTTCGATCCCTCAAACTGAGATCGAAACACTCACAGTTTTGTCTCCTGTACATTTTCAAAATGCATGTTTTTTTTCTGAGTACTTGACGTAATGTTTATTGTTGCTCCTGAACTTCTTTGAGAATTGAAGCGTAGTTCTTCCCCTATCAGGTACTCTCTGGAGGACCTGGAAAACATGGAGCGGGAGGCCGCAATGGAAGAAAATACAGAGAACCAACTCCACGAACTCATGGCAAAGAAGGTGATTATTATTATTATTATTATTATTATTATTATTAGTAGTAGTAGTAGTAGTAGTAGTAGTAGTAGTAGCAGTAGTGGTAGTAGTAGTATTACTGTTGCTACTACTACAATTTTCCTAGGCACTGAATCCGTGAATGTTATATAGATCCTTGGGACGAAGAGGCAGTTTGCTTAGATCCAAGAATTCCTTCGATAAGGAGGGAATAGAAGTTGAAAATGGCACTCAACACTCGAGTTTCATTGATGAAACTCTACACTAACACGATTAGCAAATAATAATTTAGCTAGACTAATTTGATAATTTGAGATATAATGATGAGTAATGTGGTGGCAGGGGAAGTAGAATATTCAGACGACCTCGAAGTCTCATTATTTCTCCTCGAAGTCTTTTAATTTACTTCTAGAGACCGAGACCCCCTTATTTTTAATATTTTTTATTTATTTTTCAGAACATTAAGCGAACTAACATGCCCATGCTAGGAGGTCACGTTGCTATTAGTCCAAGACTACTGAGGAAGGGGCAGAAGGAGGAAGCTTACGACATCCCAGCCACCTCCGTCAGACGACCAGTCTTTGCCCGCACACTTACCACCCAGCCAGATGAACAGGTAAACACACTTCTCAAATGTACAACGCAGCCTTTGGAATATAACTTCAGAGCCTTAGTATTAAGAATTTGACGTCAAATATATTTCTAAGCGTTGAGACTTCAGTCTCAGATAAATTAATTTAGATTCTAAGAATAGAGAATTTGGCCTGAAGGACATTCAAACGCTAATAATTGTAACTGCGAGATCGAACATTCAGGAGCTAAGAACTGTGACTTCAACTATCAAACATTTAGAAGCTATGAATTGAGACTTATAACTCAGATTAGATTTTGCCACCGATGTGGGTAGTATATTGTGCACCCCACATCCATCCTGCGGAGGGTAGCGTGAGACCACGCGGGTACAGCGGCGGCCTAGTAACTAAGCCACAAAAGGCTTAACGGGAGTACATCTGGATTTATATCTACAGTTGTCCTATCAGCCACAAACAAATTCAAGAAATTTACTTAATATGTCTGGTATCTTATTTTCATTAACAAGGTATCTTGACATCAAAATTAAGCACAAAGTGTTCAGAATAGTAATCATAGGGCTGGCCATATACTTTGCATTTGAGCACTTCGTTGAATGATCATCCGTGAGCCTGACAAACTGCCAGAAGTTTGTAACCAAAACTAAGCCTGGCCACTGCAACATCAGTCAGTCTCTTCACATTGCAAGTTGCTCCATAAACGTACTTGTCAACGTTTATGTTATAGTGAGTGATAGATCTACTTAGGCTTTTAATTACTTTCGTATAACATTCACTTTCATTATTTACTTCTCACAGACACTCAGAACCCAAT